TATGGGTTTCCACAAGACGTTGACTCGTGTTTGCCGCCTATACGTCTGGCCGAAGTCCAAGGACTTTGTCAAAGCCTACATCTAGGAGTGTCCTACCTGCCAGGAGGTGAACAGTGCGAACCACCTTCGGTATGGGTTACTTCAGCCCCTACCCATACCTGAAGGTCGTTGGCAGTCTATCCTGATGGATTTCATTGGACCCCTCCGCCCACCCACTCAGCGCGGTCATGATGCTATCTTGGTCGTCGTCGATCGCTTCACGAAGCGTGCACGTTTTGTTCCGTGCCGCTATTGCATTAGCGCTCGTGAGGTCGCCGAAATCGTCTTCGACCGAGTCGTGAGAGATCACGGCTTACCTCAGAGCATCATCTCCGACCGTGACCCGCGCTTTACCAGCACATTCTGGCGGCGCCTACACGAGGTGTACGGATCCCAGCTCCGCTTCTCATCTTCTTACCACCCTCAGACGGATGGTCAGACCGAGGTCACCAACAAAACTCTCGGTAATATCCTTCGAAAGTTTGTTAGGGGTGACCAGCAGTGGGACTTACACTTAGCCCATGCGGAGATGGCGTACAACCACGCTGTTTCGCCAGCCACGGGGATGTCGCCATTCTATTGCGACCTCCCCTCGCGTACCTGCGGATTTCCTACGACCATCGCGGTTGTGCCCAGACACTCGTTGCCCTGCGCTTGACGACTGGATCACCCACATGGCGGCGATTATGAAGCGCGCACACGAGCGTTTAGCAGACTCCCAGATTCGCATGGCCGCACGAGCGAACCGATCACGAATGGATCATCCATTCAAAGTCGGTGACGATGTGCTCATCGACGCACGCCACTTACAGCTCGAAGCAAATATGCTTCGCAAGTTCAGGCGTCGTTTCTTCGGTCCATGCCGCATCCTTCAGGCCGTCGGCTCTGATACTGCCGCTAGTCCGGTCAGCTTCCGTGTGAAGCTACCTAATTACCTTCGACAGGCTCGCGTACACGATGTTTACCACGTCTCCTTGCTGCGTCCTTATCGCAGACCGTCCGAGCGCTTCGCCGGACGCCCTTATGAGCGCCCTCCACCTATCATGGTGGACGGTCACGAGGAGTTCGTTGTTTCCGACATCGTATCACGCCGAGTTACCGACGATACCCCTCTACGCATCGAGTACCTTGTGCGTTGGAAGGGCTACCCTGATGAGGAGGCTACTTGGGAGCCCCTCGAGCACTTGCAGCACGCCAGGATGTTGGTGCGTGCATATGATCGTGCTCGGCGTGCTGGGACATTTGCTTCTACTCAGCCGACTGACCCCCTTCCTCCTCCTCCGGCTAAGGAGATCGCTGAGGATGAGCCCGCTCCCTCTGAGGCCGTTCCTCAGCCGCAGATGGTCGCCTCCGAGCGTCCACAGCGCACTCATCGTCGCCCTTCACGTTACGATGACTGACACTCTTATCCTCCATCTTTCCCCA